TCTATTCCTTCTGACAGGATAAGTTGTCCATGCATCAGTGGGAAAAGAAAAACAGTACACGTGCCGCACCAGGACAGTCTACTATGATTATCAAGTGTTTTATGTATACAGTGATTAACATCTGTATGCATTATCTCAAAGCGTTGGAGAAGAAAAACTTGTCGGGGGAAGAAGCCGTCTGTCTCGATAGGTTGGATTTGGAGGAGAGAAATGTTACGAGTAAAGATATCTATGCAATTAAATAGGTTCAGGAGGATTTTGAACTCTATTCTAGATTTTACAGGGAGCAAATGCAGAGAAGTTAAGAATGGAGAAATGTGATTTCTATAGTTACCGTCAGTATTCATGCTGCAGCATTTTTTTCAGGTTTTTTTTATCATAGACTTATCGATCTGTCCTGATAATAGAGAATTACAGTTGTCTAGTCTACAGGTAACACATGTATCCACTAGTTTTTCAGCATCAATCTAAAACAGGGTATTTATGATTTATCCCAGTATTGGTAGAGGTGGACGTAGAAGATGGCTGGACCGGCCCTGGTTAAAAGAAAAGTTTATTCCAGCAGTAGAATGTGACATTGAAATAAGTTGAGTTAAGTCATATATGTTAGAATTGTAAAGCATCTTATAAATTAGGTTAACTTTCTTATAGTCTCAGGTAGGGTTGTCACGATTAACCGATTTTACGATATCCGCGGTTTCATAACGTCGCGATTTCCAATATCCGATACCGAACTATGGTGTCCGGCCTCTCGCGAGTCACGTAATCTGTGTGCACGAGCAACTGAAACGTTAGTTGAGAAGAAGGTACTGACTTAACGGCCTTATATAGTTGTTCACAGCGGAAACACAAATTCACTGACCAACCTTCCACAATAAGGCAACTAAATAAAATAGCTTACATAAATTACTTTTAAATAGCCAAACTTCACACTTTAAAAACTAACTGGATATTGTTGATGATAATAATAAATATTTTAGTTCATTAGATTTATTAATAGCCATATGTTGTTTGTTGTGTGTCTCTTTCCTTCTATAGTATCTATAATCGTGAAACCGTGATATTTCCTCTGACAATAATCGTGGCACCATAATTTCATATCGTGACATCCCTGGTCTCAGGAAATTTAACAAAATGTGTTTTGTTTACATAAATATACAGAAAAGATTATATCTTGTTTATGCACGCACATTCATGCTACAGGTATGTTAACGATAATGGGGTGGGAAAAATTATTATTTCAGTCGACTCTGTGTTTCCTTGGTTCCTCTGTCAATCAGTTGAGTGCTGGTTGAGAAAAATCTAAATACTGCACAGTTTACAGTGGTGACAGAAATCATAACCAAGTGGCTTTCACAGATTTGAGTGTAACACTATTTTTCATAACCCAGTAAAAAGAATATATAGAAAGACATACATATACATTACATATCTTGCGATTGATTGTTTTGTGCAGCCATGGAAATATTTACTGGGATTGTGTGCGTCTTGTTTCCATCTATATGTGTATGTCTGTGCTCAATTGATGAGTGTTCAGATAAGAAATTGCAACAAAGCAGAAAATGTCACAGATAATTCTTTTAATATATCACTCACAACCAAAATACCCTCATCTTTATCAAGACTGATTGTCTCAAGCCTTCGTTACACAAGAGAAATGTGTGTATCTTTGCAGCCTTTTTCTGTTGAATATTGTATCTACATCAATTTGAATCTACGTCCTGCAATGAAAAGCCATCCCTTGATACAACACCATGAAAAACAGTTATTATGAACAACTTTCTACCTTTCAGGTCAGTCTGTGCATGTTGGTTCCATCACAAAGATTATTCAGAAATGTTTTCACATTTTAAAAGTGAAAGAAAAATTGCAGCTACACTAAATGTGAAAATAATTATATTAAAACATTTTGCTGTATTATAAGTATCATATATGATTCTAATTTACCAGTGAAGCAGCAGTCATATAAGTGTAGTTGCACTGGTTGGGAGATACACTTTTCATTTGACAACATGATGCTCTCTCACAGAAGACATTATTCCAGCTCTATGGAGATGTTGATATAATGTCACTTAAAATACCTTCTGGTGAGAAAGGGTTGTACGGTTTCTTCCATCAATAGCTGGATGTCAGTGCTGCTCATTGTTCAAGTTTCAACTGGATCTTTTCCCTGGAAATGTCCTTGTCTTCCTCGGTGTGTGTGGCCGTGTAAGGTGTCTTCTGACAACATCTGGAGTAAAGAAATAAAACACAGCAGAGCCGGTCCGTTTAATAAGCCAAGTGGCTGCTTAGGGCCCTACAGCCACTAGGGGGCCCCAATAGTCATGTTAATTAGGATTGCCAATGTATTGCTTGCATTTGACTCTGATGAGACTTTGAACCAAAACTGGCAGCAATGACATTAGTGTGTATTTAACACAGGGCCCCTTGGACAGTGAAAATAATAATGTAGATGTATTATTTACCAGATGAAAAACATCTAGCAACCAAGTATTTGTTCTTTTATAGTGTGCTTTTTTTTCTTTTTTTTCTAAAATGTGAAATTATTCCTACATCCTACAAATTTTGTAGAGGAGTAGTTCTAAATAAAGAAATCCATTATTTTTAAACTTTCTTTAACGTGGCAGTAGGGCATTATTCATGTGGCGTTCTAGTTATGGTGGGTATATATTTGATTATTACTATTAGTAGCCAAAGGAAATGACCCTGGTGGGTGAAAAGCAGAATGAATAATGAATGAAAGAGTAACATTTGGCACAATTAAAATTAATAGTTGAATAATTAAAACTAAAGCTGCAGGATCACAGACCAAAGACGTTTTTAAAACTGAGCTGATAAATACTAATGACCAATCCGAAAATCTACATGACCCAGTCTGTGGGAGGTGCTGTGACGGGGAGGTGTAAACTCACCCAGGGAAGTGTTGCATGTGAGTGATGGTGTCGGGCAGAGGCATTCCATAGCTCTCGGGCAGCAGGAGACTCAGCAACCCTGCCAGAGCCATCAGACTTCCCATGAGGATGTAAGGCAGTGATACGGAATAGCTTCCTGTGGCATCACATCAGAGGGGGAGACGGTGAAAAACAACCTCGGCCACAGTGGAAACCGTGGAGCGGTTTAAAACAAATCAGACAAAAGGTGAAGTTTTAAGAGGCTTGGAAAAAAGTGATTTAAAACCAGTCCACTAAATCTTGAGAGAAACCTCAGCTGGTTTATCCAACCTGTGTGCTAATCGAGTCCGCTTTTGTTTCTCCTCTAGGCACATTTGTTCTTGCTGTTTTGTCTCTTTGTGGACCAGCATCTCATTAGCATAGAGGAAGGGACTGGTTTTATATGCACTGGATCCAGATCGTTTAATTCACCACCATACAAGTAGTTATTATTCAGGCAAATTACCCACTTTTAACCAAAACTTCCAATGGTTAAATTCAACCACAGCCACTAATCTCAGTCACTTTAGTTTTTGGTTTTTACATTTATAGCCCACTTGAAGATGAATGATATTATTAATTATATCGTTGCTTCGATGATTGACTCCAGAGTGCTGATGCCCACAGTGATGAATGTAATTCTTTACGCTTTAATTTAGGCCATAATCCCCATTAGGCCACCATACTTAAAGGCCTGTGAGCCCAAAAATTACATCATGGACGTTGTATTTTTAGAAACTCAAAATGTGCCAGTCTGTCTTAGAGTTAGCTTAAAGGTCCAGAAAGTGAATGTTTGAGAAGGAGGGTTAATAATAAAGATAATGTGAGTGTATGTAAGTTCTAAATCATTTTCACAGCGCTGAAAACAAAGCAGATGCTATCTGTGACATGCGCTATTTTTTTAATGCTTGTGTCAAAGACAGGCTTGACCAAACGTAAGTCAGTCTCAGCTGTCAATCATGTTTCATCCCCTTTTTATTGAATCATATAAAACCAAACATTTCCGACACATGATCACCTGAACGTACATCAGTGTAGGCTTTATGGCCTATACTGCAGCCAGCCACCAGGGGGTGATCGAGATGATTTAGCTTCACTTTTGGGGAGCTTTCAAGTTGTATTTTTTTTTATTAACAGTCCACAGTAACAAAACTAAAGCCTAAAACAGAGCTGGATATTTAGGATTCGTTCCTTGCACTTGTCCCACAGTGACCAATAGACAGCTGAGTGATGTGACATAAACATGTACTGTACTTTGAGCAGATGATCGAACGTCCTTACTCAAGTAAATGAAGTATGGAGCGGTGATGCTGCCTATTCTGGAGGCCATGGAGCAGGTACCAATAGCTGTGTTCCTCAGCACGGTTGGGTAGACCTCTGCTGTGTAGGCATACACGACGGCGAAGGCCGTCGACACGGCAAACTTCCCCATCATCTCGAGCGTTATGGCCAGAGGAATCAGGTCTGGAGGGAATAAAACATTTATTTACTCAAGGTTAAATGGGAGTTATCAAACAAATCAAAGAATCAACCTAAAGTTCTGCTCTTATTAAAACATCTCGTGTTCTCAAGTGTGCATCTGCATATCTGAGCAGATTGATTAAAATGATGAATGTCACTGAGGCACCATACTTGCTGGTATGAGCTGTATGAAGAGTAGAGACAGTCCTCCCATGGTGAGCGTCGAGAAGATGCTCAGTCGTCTGGAAACCCAGCGGAACAAAACCCACGACAAAGTGTAGGCAGGCAGCTCGACCAGAGCCGACAGGAAGCAGTTGAAGTACGCGTTGCCGTGAAGGTTCACCGTGTTCAGGGACAATGCGAAGTAGCCAATGGTCAGGGTGTTCCTGTGGGACAGTTTTATCAGTGTTTCAACTCCTGTGGCATAATTTTGTGTAAACTTGCCAAATAGGGAAACTGAAAATCTGTAGGGGAACAAAGAGTATGACTTTAATATATACATAACTGCAAGACATCTAAATAGTCTATTTACTGAAAGGTTAAAAAATATATGGTTGTTGTGTATACAATTAGTTTCTGGTGCCTACAAGTGGGGAAACATTAACAGCACAAATAGGACAGTTGCAATATTGCTTTCCGACAATAAGTGCAAAGACACGAAAATGGCAGTAAAAGTAGATGTTTAATATAATATATAAAAATCCTAATTACAAGTTAAGGGGAAGGAGTAGAACAGATGAAGTTGTGGTGAAGAAAACAAGATGAAGTTATTTGTTAGGAGGACCATATTTTTGTTTATCAAATGTTCAAACAAACTTTTTTCAAGAGATGGTGCAGTAGACTACAAAATAGTGATAACTGGCGCCGAAAGAATTAGCCTAGATATATTTTAGAAACAGACTAGACTGAAAAAAAATACTTTGCATTTGCATCCTTTAATAATTTGAAAATATAAAGCTCACCTGCTGTGAGTAGTTTTTTTTCTGTAAGAATGAGAAAGAAAATCAAACAGCATCTGTTTTTCTGACTCAGTGAGAAAGTGAGCACTGGAAGAATTCAGTCAAACTGTGCAGTTACATAAAGGCTGATTTTGATCTTCGACGCAAGCTTCACAGCACCTGACAGGTCATTATTTGTTGTTAAGGAAGCGGGTTGACATGCAGTTGAGATGCATGAACTGGCCGTCACCATGTGTTAACAGCGTGCATGTTCTACATGTCTACATGTAAGCGTGTGTGTGTGTGTGTGCGTGTGTGTGTATAGCTGTGCATGCAGGGTCACTGTACTAAAAGTGGAGGTCGGATGGGACAGCAGGGACTCACCACACCAGCCACAGCGTGAGAGAAATCCCGCGGATGTTTCGGGAACGCAGCAGATCGCAGATGTTATGGGTCGTCCTCTCCTTGGACTGACGTTTATACTGTGGGGCAGTGGAGCATGTGGAACAACAAACAATTTACAATTTAACAAGGGGAGGCAGCGTCCAGAAACAATGTCATTATAGAGGGAACATTGTGAATTCATGGCCACTTGCTGAGTGAACACATGCATGTGCACTTGGTAACACATACAGTGACCAAACGTGATCAGAAATGAATGCAAGGAAAATGTCTTTTTATCCCTTTATCCCATTTATATTTACCATACTATTCCTTTTTTAGTGTGGATACTTAATCCGATGTAAACTATTCATGCATCATTGTTTCCTAGAAGCCTTTGTTGACCTATGCAACTTGGTGGAACCTTAAACTCCCAATTTTGTTGTTTTTAACAGGAAAAAACAAAAATTCAGCCTAAAGCTTCAGTAAAAGTTTGGAAGAGTAGAAAAAAAACCATCTCCACTTTAATATAAAGATTCAATGGGATAACAGCACGACTATATCAGTTATCAGCAACCGTTTTACTTGGCTTTACATGTATGAAGAATGTAAAAAGAAAAAAAAAAGGTCCCGCATTTAGATCAGGGTTGGGGAACATCTGACCTCCATATTCAGTCCACATGACATTTTATCAAACAAGATCTTTCTATGATAAAGGTAAACAGGTCCTTCAGTTTGTTTCCTTCTGTCCATTCACCATCAGGCTCAAAGGAACACACAAATGTAACATATGTGGCCCTTACATTCCAAAAAAAAATATGGGCCTTTATTGGCAAACGGTGCTGTATGTGAGGTTTAGTATGGATGTGAACCTAAAGTGGCCCTTGTGATAAATGGTGAATATGGCCCAAATACTACAAAACTAATTTGGGCAACTTTTTGAACCTTTGCTTGATAGCAATACTGCATGTCAACCAAGTGGCATCATTCCAAACTGTATCTGGGCCAAATCTGATTTTTGCAATTTTTCCTTGGATTGACCAGTTTCCACAATTTTGTAACACTGTAGTGTCACATGTCAGGATGGTTGAGAAAGCCCTGCCTTGGAGGTTGAACGTTAAACTACTACTGGAGTAACATAAGGGAATCTTGGGTAAAATCTTGCTGAAGTCTCATCTAGATTATTGTTGACTCTTGCAGAACAGTAAATGATTACACCAAACTGAGCAGTGCAAAGGTCATACACATTCACGCTCACCCCAACGTGTCGAGAGAAACTGATCCACAGCGATTAGGAGCAGGGAAACAGGTATGAACTGGATAGTGGCTTAGTTAATCACATGAGCTGTTATTTCAGTGAGATCTCACCTGCGGGGGACTGAAGATGACTGGCGGAGGCTCAATTTTGTTCTTCCTAGCAGCATCTCTCACTATGGCCTCAGCCTCCTCCACCCGACCCTGAGAGAGCAGCCACCGAGGAGACTCTGGAATGAACCTGCCCCGATATACAACAAGTGGACAGTGAGAGAGAAATAAGAGGAAAGCAAACTCATTTTGATTTCCTCGTAACGTTAAACTGAGTGACTCGATAAAAGTAAAACCTCCCCCACACTAGCTTCCATAAAGTTATAAATACAAAGATTTTATTCAGTAGTTTTTCATAGAAACAATTTTCCAGATCATAATCATGAAAATAACTATATTTTTAATCTTAGTTTGTAAAATTAAAGCAAAGTAAAGAACTGAAAATTGTCCCAGAGTCAAAAACCTGAATAATTTCACTTTAAACGACCGTTCGGGTTAGAAAAATGACTTAATCTCTGCAGATTATCATAATCATTTTCTGTTTTACACATAATCGATCATTTGAAAGTTACAGCTCTAAAATAATACAATACATAGTGTACAAATGTGAGAAACATATGGGAATGATCAACACTCCCCTGGTCACTGCTATGATCAGCTTTACAAAACAATTTGATAAGGTAGACGGCAAAAATATTACCTGTAGAAATCCACACAGACACACACAAGCAAACACACACCTACCTACCACCAGAGAGGAAAACAAAGCAAGCCAGGCAGGTTGAGGGTGAGGATGAGCATCCTCCAGTTTCTGATGAAGAAGCCCACGAGTGGCAGCAGCATGTAGCCTGCACCAAAGAAAACACTCACACCCATGGTGGAGAAAATCGTCCGCACGCGTGGGCCAAGAATCTCTGTCCCTTAAACACAAGAGAAAAGAGAACAAGGAATGCATTACGCTGTCTTTTGCTTTGCCGTGAACCAGTAAGCAACTAAATACAGTAGCTCAGAGGATGAATGAGTAAAATGAAGAAGTACCTAAGACGAATGCGGACACATAATTAGAGATATGTCCCAACCCAACGACAAAGAACAAAGCGCAGAACACAGGCCAGGATGGAGAAGCCACCGTGATGAGTGCAAACACCGTCTGGACGGCCATGGTAACAAACAACACGATTTTCCTCCCATACCTGAAAAAGACACGAAGCAGAGGTAAATCACCAAGTGTTGTTTAGATCGAAAGTTCATTCACACACATGCCGCCATGACTAACTATTGTATGTTTTTACGATATATTATACTTTTATTACATGCCAATGATTTCACAGAGAGTAATCTGTATTTTTTAGCACTTTTACTGGACCTCCTGGCCTCTTTTAGCTTTGGTACTCAAATCTAACTTAAACTTCTCCCATTAGCCCTGTCCACCACTGGATTGCCAGACAAAGGTAGAGAGACATGTTTTCTCTACAGATTTGCAGAGCTCAACGCACCGCAAATTAAGAAAATACATGCAAATACAAAAGATATGCGCAAATTAAGAACACAACTTTTGAGGACACATTCGCTGCAGGAAAGGCCCCAATGGATTGATAAGATTGCTCTGAGTCTGCTGGATGTACACAAAAGCAGCTGTAGGTTAATGCATCCTCAATATCAGTTATATAATATGTCGAGCCTGTGGGAGTGAATGTGTGTTTTAGCTCATTTTGAAGATCTTTTCGCATTGGTCTAAAAATCTACTACTTTTAAAAACTTTAAAAGTAAATTGTCATGTTGATCAAATTCAATGCAGCAAAACTAATGATCATGTTTTTATATTCCACATATTCTACTTCCTTATTTATACCAATGTACATTACCCACAATACAACTTCACAGAAGTTTGTGCATCTAGAGATATAAGGGTTGACCTAAAGATTGGCTCACTTCTTCTCATCTTATGTTCTCATCAAACTTCATCAGCTGCTGAAGGTATATACAAAGTTTTTCACATAGGAAGTAGAACTAACCAAAAGCTGTAAACCCCTTGCTGTGTAAAATCAACTACTTTTTCACTCGTCCGGTGGCGTCTTTAAACAAGGTGCTGCACAGATTTAAAGACCTGACCTTTTACCTACATGCTGAGTGACACTGATCTTCAAGAGTAAAAAGTTAAAAAGTACATTGCAAAGATGTCCACTTAACGATTAACTTATTCCACAGCAGTGGACGAGTTGACACTGACTGAGGTGAAGTTAATCTTTTGTACGTCACCTGTCTGAGAGCTGCCCTGAAATAACAGAACCGGCGAGAACCCCACCAAAGTAGACAGAGGAAGTCAACGGGTTCTTCCACCTGTTATCACACACCAGGTCCCACTGAAAGACACACACAGACACACAGATGCTGTACCTATCAAGTTAAGTCAAAGTATACAGTTCTGATTTGTTAGCTATAGAAAAAGAGTGTTACAGTCATAATCAATATCTTAAAGTGCAACCTATTTATATTCAAAATTAGAGAATAAATCATAATGACCTTTATCATAATTCTAATAAAATGGAATGTAGATATTCACTCATTATTTCTGTGCCATAGCAGTGCTATTGTTGTCTTAATTATTATCATATTCCAACATGCTTTAATGAAGGTGGACAAAATATTTGAAACAAAGAAACAAATGTGTTTCCATTTCTATGTTTCCAGTGAGTGGTTATTCTATTGTATTGTATTTTCGGTTGTTGCTCTTGTTTTACCCTTCAGACATCAAACTATTTGTAGTCAAGGTTGAACATAACTCATCCATCTCTGTCTTGCAGTGTCGGACAGTTTTCAGTGTTTATCCTCTAAACAGGGGACACCAACCTCGGATATGATGGTGGAGATGTAGACGCTCTGGTCATAGTCCCACCCGTCCAGACAGCCTTCTTTTGGCACCTCGGTCAGATTCACATCGACGCCGGGCATCAAACCTCTCTCTGAGAAGCTCAGCAGATCATCCAGTTTGTATCTGAGGCATTTGCTGGGCACCAGCTCTCCTCCGCTATCCACCTCCAGAGGGATGCTGCTGTTCCTCCACGCCGCCGTGAGGTTTACGCGCGCCGGCACGACGCAGTGGTGCCGCGGAGTGTCGGCCAGAAACACAATGGAGAGGGCGGTGAAGCCGTTGGGCACCACGGTCAGACAGAGGAGGAAAAACACCTGCTGCTGGAAACGGCCCCATTCTCCCAGGAAGGTGGTTGCGTCTTCATAGTCGCTCATGCTGCCTGCGGAGCTGCGCGCTGCAGACGCGTAAAGTGGGGCAGAGTTGACAAGAGACGCGGAGGACTCTGCAGTGGGTATTTGAAAAGCAGTTTTTTTTTTTTTGGTTCAGCAACAAAACCATCCCACCTCTTTCTCAGTACTGTATTCATTTGGGTAAACCCGGTTTTAAAGGCACAATCCGTAAAGCAAATGAAGACTAAAGCAAAATCTCATGAAGTCACTCCAGAGGATTCAGTTCCCAGTGTGGGGACATGGTGGCAATAAAAAGGATTGATGATTAGATGATTGCACACTTATCTTTAATGAATGATTTGTTTTTAAGAACGGTCACAGAGAGAGAACCATCTTTTATTACAAAATAGAATTTAAAAACCTTGAGATAATCTCAGGGATTATAAATTATTACTAACATGCATGTACATGTTTAATCTCAAAACTCAAGCTCTTGAAATGAATGACTAAACTTTCGAACAACACATTACACCACAGGACATAGCAAAGTTACACACACACACAAATCCACGTTAATCAACAACTCTGCCATAAAGGGGCTGTTTTAGTGAGTTTCTGCAGGTTTCAACCTCAAAGGTCTTCTATGAAAAGAAGATAGTGGGTCTACAATGTGATAAATGCAGTTTTTAAAGGGAAAAAATATATATTAATTAAACATATATATACTGTTGCCACTCCCGCCACTGTTGCCTTCACTTTCCACATCTTCTCCAGCTCTTCTTTCGTATTTTTCGGGCTTGATGTTGCTGTCACTTGGAACCGCTGCCTCTGCCGCCTTCTGCTGTTTTTCGATTACCACGATATCCGCTTGGTAGCCATCACCATTTTCTCTTTCTGGATCTGCAAGTCCCACAGCCCCTTAGCTTGGTCATTCCCAGCCGTCTTGGAGGTGTCTTCCATTTTGACCTTTAGACTTCCAGGCCATTCTCGGAGCTGATGTTCCCCTACCCAATGCCGACCACTTGTTTGTGGTGTCCCATGTATGCTGTGCCTGCCTGAGTCTTGTTTTGTGCTGGACTGTGTCAGAGTCACCAGGGGTCCTGTCTTGTGTGCTAGACCACAGCCTCTATTGATCTTGTGCAGTGCCTGTTCTTGTGCTGCCATGATTAATGCTTCTGTCTGTTAGACCGGCCTTTTCTAACCAATAGGAAGAAATGTGAATTTATGTGCGGTAAAAGCCCAGGTTAGTAATTGTTTTAAAGTTTTAAACTTAAGTGTTTAAAGGTTCAGTGCATAGAATTTAGTGGCATCTAGTGGTGAAGTTGCATGTAGCAGATGAATACTACTCACCTCACCCTCCCCTTCCAAACATGACAGAGAACCTGTGGCAGCCTTCAGTTGTCTCAAAAGAAGTTCAGTTTGTCCAGTCTGGGCTCCTGTAAAAGACATGGTGGCCTCCGTAGAGAGGACACACTCCAGATGTAAATATTCAAGTTTAAAAAAAATATTTACAGTTTTTAAATATAAATATAAAGGGCCCATTCTAGGATATTAGATTTACAATCATTCCCACAATTTAGATGATTAGCCAAAAGTGAAAATATCATAGGATTATTTTTCTATTCAATTTCTTAGGTTAAAGATCCCTTTCACCTATAAATCTTACACACTAAACCTTCAACCTTGGATGTGCTAGATCATGCACTTTGTGCAAAATAGTGGTGGACAGGTAGTGGTGATCTATACCTGATTTAAAACTCATCCAATCAGTTTTAGGACAACTTTAACATGTAAAAGTGATAAATACGGCAAATTGCATGTCCTTAAAAAGCATGTAAATGATTTTTGAAGACAATTGACCGTGCTGCTGTGCTCTTTAACAAGACACTTGGTGTTTGTTGAGTGTCGACACCCGCTCCTTGGTTTAAATTTAAACTGATATTCAGTTGTCATGTGATTATCATAACTTTGTTAGAAGAAATCACTTAAACTCTTTATCCACTTATAAGAAACCTGGTTCATATATACAGTCACAAACTTACTTCAATAATGACTCTCCAGCAGCATGTGAGCATCTTCCCTTTTGCTTTTTCAACACAGAACCTGAATCAGGCATCCAGATGTTTTCACTTTAATGGGCGAGAACATTGAACCCAGTGATGGTCCTCAGTGATGAAAGACCCTGATCTAATCTTGTCACCATGTTGTGTCTTTAATCCCTTCCTGTGTGCCAGGACAAAATACCACAGCTCAGCATCCTGTAACTCAGCTGAAAGGGTCCTGATTATCTTCATGAAAGGAAGTCAATGCAGGTAGTGAATAGACTGATTAACAGTGTCACCAGGGACATATTGGTGATTAATTGTTGAACCAACACGAAGAGGGCTATAAGAAGGTAATAATTAAATGTTGGCTTTCATCTGTAAATTTTACATTTCCACTTAAACAAAGAGTTTAACAGATTACTGTTGTATCTAAAACTAAAATGGCGCTGAGTGGAGCAGTTACCTCCACTAAGGCCCAACAGTCTCCCTGAATCCAATCAATCTGCACCAAATTTTACACACTCATCAGCTCACTAAAATTGTGATAATGTTATTGGACTTAAGTTAAACTTGAATTGAATCATATTGAAAAAAGTACGATTTTACCAGAATATTAAGAGTCAGAGGGAAAATAACTGTTTACATAAGCAAAACAGGCGCACAAACACTTCCTGCAACTTGTTGGAAGTTAATTCACCTTAATTCTGAGAATAATGGAGTCCAAGGCATGATGAAGACACAATGTTCTCAAACATCACAATGAAAGCTTCACATTTTTGTATATTGAGATAAGATGACTGAAATGTGATGACATTTAGACTGTGGACTATTTTAGCTGTATTTTAAAGATTTAATTGCTGATTACCTTAAAAACCCTACATAATATCAGTATATAACACAAATACATTTTCTTTATGTAGCACTTTTAAGACATTTTACAAAGGTGAAGAGAAAGCGAATAAAGGCTGGCAACAACAAATATAAAATATTTATATACAATTTAAAATACACTTGTTGATCAGTAATTTATTATAATTATCTATTATTTAGACCAAAATCTATCATATTAATATAGGAAATATTGATAAGATATACACTAAGCATGCAGGGAACATAAGGTGACAGATTTAATATGTATCACATGAGTTATATGTTTCTGGGGAAATTTAACAGTTATTTCTATATTTATTTAAATGGAGAGATTTATTATATATAAAACCAACATACCGAATTGTTATATTTTCTGCTTGCCTCTGCAGTGTGGCTTGAAAATAGTCCAATGAAGGTTCTAATGCTACTTAGCAACATTTAGAGTACAGGCACGTGCACCTCTTTGGGGTATTTAAAAGTGTGGAATGTTGTTTAGAGAAAATACCACTTTGACCACAGCGCTGCGGGGGCTGGGCATCTAGACCGGCCACTCTGAGCCTTTTGATCATTTCACTTTTAGTCAATCAAATCTAATCAGTGGGTGGGAGATCTCCCCTTCGCTCATCCCAGATAAATAGTCCGAGGCTCTGACATCCAGTGTATCTGGCAGTCTTGCTGTAAGGATGAAAAAGTATTTTCCTGTAAAGGAGGTTTAAAGCTCTTAGGACGAGAAACTGAAGTTGTTGAGTTGTGACTCCGTCCCTCTGAGGGATCAGCTTACTCTGCCCCACAGAGAGCTCAACCCTACCACTCTGGCACTAAGCTGAAGACTTAGAGGGATACAGCACCTCATACTCTGAAGAATCTCAGAGGATTTTTTCCCCCTTCTCCCTCAAGGGCAGGGAGGCACTTTTATAAAAAAAAATGGGAGACTATGATGAAGATACTGCATTCCTCGGACAGACCGGTCCTTACTTCTGGACCACATTCTTCCTCTTAAACACAGTTTTTGTCTCAACCGGATTCAATGGGCTTTACATTGTCTTTGTTGGAGCAGCACCAAAACACCACTGCCTCATTCCGGATGTTAACTTGACCGAGGAGTGGAGGGATGCCATCGTTCCCTTCAGGATAGTGGATGGCGAAGCTGTGCAGAGCCAGTGCAGCAGGTACAAGTTGGATGTGGTGAGAAACCTCTCTGCTGAAGGATATATTCCTGGAAGGGATGTCAACCTCACCAACCTGGAGGAGGAGGGATGCTTAGATGGATGGAACTACAGCAGAGACATCTACCAATCCAACATAGTCACTGAGGTCAGAATCAATGTGCATATGTGTGTTTTGCATAAGGTGAGAGTCATGAAAGTTTTCAGTTTCCCATTTTCTTTTTGTTTATGTCATTTTTACGTCTTTTCACAGTGGGACCTTGTTTGTGACAACAAGTGGAAAGTTCCCTTTGCATCCTCCACTCTGTTCGTGGGATACCTGGTAGGATCCCTAATCTCAGGGCAGCTCTCTGACAGGTATTTCATCCGCAGTTATCTGTGAAATTCCCCTAAAACACACCTTGCATCACTATATTCAAATATAAAAACTTCTAATACTACTATTTTATCTTCATCAGTAGAGAGATGTTGCTTTGAGTTGTGTAAGTTTTGAGAAAAAGCTCATAAAAACAGAAAACTGTGGTTATAAAGTGGATTGTGGTTTTAACAGTGAGGATAACTGCGGTGAATGTGACCTTAAGGCCTCATTAGCTGCTATTATATTTCCAACATTAGCGCCATCTACTGTTAAAGTCAAAGCATTAAAATCACTGTGAAAGTGCTCTTGTCATTTCTGGACTGGCCCCAGATGAAAGAATAGGCTTCAGCCAGGATCAGAAAACCTGGGGGCAAATTTGCAAAATAGAGTAGAAGACACAGATGAAAATGTCAAATTAGCTCAAATTCAAGGACAAGTTTAATTTCAGCGTTGGCTTGGGTTGAAGTGGTTGTGCTTCCTGTCAATTGTCTTGATCAGGGAGACCAGCTGTTGGAGATGTTCAAGGTGGTCAGTCTAGAGCTGTTAAGTCTGACTCTTGTAAATTAATGAGTTCTTTTCAGGCTCATCTTAGAGTCCCGTCACTGTGGTTGTGGAGACGCATGTGGCTCAGTTCACAGCGGTGAGAAGCACTTGTGTGTTGAACTATTTATTTCTTCTGCAGCTGTGAAAACTCGGCTCTCCGTGGATGAGAACTGGGGGGGTGAGGGGCCTTGATGTTTTAGAGCTTTTTGATCATTGTGTCACATTAGGGCATTTTAAGGATTCAAATAAGGAGGAGAAATACAAGTGCAGGAGAGTGTGAGGACACATGTAACTTTTTTACTGAGGAGCTTTTTCAGAGTGTAGTCTGGGCTGCATGGTGGATGAAGGAGGTAACTGAGTTTGCAGGTATGTCTTCGTATGATCAACAGTTTTGGACTTTTATCAGTGAAAAATGACCCACACCATATCAGCATCTGTTGCAAAAATCAAACTGCAGAAATGTTTCAAGCATCTGCTGCAGGGAGGATGTGACAAAAATAATTCAGCTTCCAGACAAATTTTGCCAAAACAAACCCAGCACACTTTAATAGAAAAAAAGGTAAATGAAGCCCAGCTTTGAATATTACAGCCGAACAAACGATGAAGGTCAACTTGTCCGTCAGTTTACACAAAGTAATTGTCTGAGTTGATATAACAGGGAATAAAATCTTTTAAGAAATTAAGCTAATATATTTCAGATATGGGATGTGCCTGAGCTCATATTTATGATCAAATAACAAACTAAAACCAAACTAATCAGAAACATGAACTTACATCAGTGTGATAAAATCTAAAATGAAACCAACTTTTTTTGGTTTGACCAATGTTCCACCCTCTAACATCTATACTATACTGAATTACATCCACCTATACTGCAGCCAGCAACTAGGGGGTGATCCAGATTATGCAGTTTCACTTTTGGGCAACTTTTATGGCGTCTATCTTTGTGTATGATGACTATACCCACTGACATCAGCAGACCCTTGCTATCTTCTCTACTGATGCCATATTAGAATAGTGTATAGTTTCTCTCATCACATTTTCTACATGTAAATATCTTTGAATCACTGTCAATGATATTTCTATATTTTCCCCTCAGGTTTGGGAGGAAGAAAGTTGTTTTCATCTCTCTTGCGGCTCAGTGTGTCGCCGTCCTGCTTCAGTCCTTCTCTCACTCATGGAGGATGTTCTGCATCATGTTCCTCTTTGTTGGAGCCTCCCAGATATCGCTCTATATTTCTGCGTTTGTACTTGGTATGAATTTAAAAAACTCTCCTCATCCTATGTTTGGTCTTTTAGGCCCAAATTCCCCATCATATGCACAAGTAGACAGATAATTCAACTCCTTTTAATGCATGTCGCTAACATATGTTGTGTTCCACAGGGACGGAGGTGTTGAGTAAGACCATGCGAGTGCTCTTCACAACCCTCGGGGCCTTTCTCTTCTATTGCATTGGGTACATGACACTGCCCTGGATTGCATATGGCATCAGAGAATGGAGGACTCTTCTTGCTGTTCTGTCCACAACTTCTGTAGTCTACATCCCCCTCTGGTGGTATGTTGCTCCTTATCAGTTTCTTCATTTTGTGTATGGCCACTGTAATGTGTACGGATCATCAGCAACCCGTGGTCTATTTTAAAATTAAACTTCATTTTACCGTGCAGGTTCATCCCAGAGTCTCCGAGGTGGCTGATCACTCAGGGAAGAGTGGAGGAGGCCGAGGCCATAGTGAGAGACGCTGCAAGGAAAAACAAAGTGGAAGCTCCATCTGTCATTTTCAAACAATCTCAGGTATGATTCACACTTTGCAATTAATAGTATGATTGTGCAGATCCAGGATTTAAAAATGTGTTTATTTCTTTAATATTGTGAGATTTCTGCTGATTTCTTAGAGAATAATTTATAGAATTTGGTAAAATAAAAATTAATAAAGGAATTAAATTTGATGCAAATCCATTTAAGAATCATCTGTAAACCATTCAGGTCTCCATCACCTTGAGCACAGTCTAAATGAATCTGCTCGGAAAATATTGCGCATGCAGCTCTGGATTAACAACATGATTTATGCTGTTTTTTTGTCTTTGCTTGTAGCGACAGGGGATGCCTCAGTTTAAGACATACACGATGCTTGATATTCTCAAATCCAAGAACATCAGATGCATCACACTGATGTGTCTCCTTTTGTGGTGAGTGGTTGTGTTCTTTTCTTCTTCTCTTTATTTTTATCTTGAATCTCATCACGGATAATGTTTACGGCTAGATTGCCTCAGTTAAACACCACGCCAATCATTACAGGTGTCAATGCTGCTCCCTTCAATCTTGTCAGATATTTTCTTTTGTAGATACTTTAAACATTGTCTGTTTTTGTTCATGTGCTCTGCTGAACAGGACACGTGACATTTATTCGATAATGCAAATGACATTTTTCTTTTTTTGTCAGGATGGCAATAAACATGGGGTATTTTGGTTTATCCCTGAACACTTCCAACCTGAGTGGAGATCCCTTCATGAACTGTTTTTTATCGGCCACCACTGAGGTCCCTGCTTACGTTGTTTCCACTTGGCTGCTGAAGAAGTGTCCGCGGAGGGCTCTTCTGTCGTCCTTTCTCGTCATTGGAGGAGGAGTTCTGCTGCTCATCCAGTTCATCCCTGACAGTGAGACTTCTTTCATTATGACAACCTATCAAACATGCATAGGCTTACATTATAACCGCACATCACCACATAACATATACTGTGCTCACCAAGGCCATTTTGATAAGGGTTCTCCCTTAACATGACAATATAACATTGACTCGATAATGTATGCTTCTATTTTTACTACTGTTATTATTACCTGTATAAATACCACAATTATTCTATCTACACCGCTTATCCATTTTGTGAGGTTCATGTGGGGGCTGGAGCCAATCCCAGTTCAAATTTGGGTGGGAGGCAGGTGCCTGGGCAGGTCACCAGCGTATCGCACAGCCAACATGCAGACAGTTTAAAATCTCCAATGAATCTTGATTTGAGCCAGAGGTGCTAACCACCGTACCACAATGCTGCATCATTATTAATCATTTTAAAAAACAGTCTCACAGTGCTAAAATAAAACTGTTACACTACTCCTGATGTCAGGACAGTTCGAATCCCAATTTTCTCCAGTTTCTCCAGCTTTGTCTCTCAGTCCAAAGAGGTCTAGATTAGGATTAGGTTAATTGCAGACTCTGAATTTACAGTGGGCTACTGGCCGGTCCAGGGTGCCCCCTCTCCCACCGTTCGCCTAATGTCAGCTGGAATCCAGGACTCCTGATAGATATTGGATGGAAGTTCTTAAAGCAGTACTGTCACTTTGATGCCCACTGTTCTTCTGCTTAAATTTTAAAGATTAAGTGTATCCCTCTCTCTCTCTCTCACTCTCTCTCTCTCTCTCTCTCTCTCCTCCCCAGCTCTCCATTCGGTTGCTCTGGCTCTGGAGATGACCGGGAAGTTTGGCTTCACCATGGCCTTCAGCATCGTCTACATCTACACTGCTGAGATTTACCCCACTGTCCTCAGGAACGTCGGCATGGGAATGTGCTCCTCTGCTGCACGCATTGGCAGCATCACAGCTCCTTATGTCATCTATTTAGGTACGTGGGTGATGAGTGCGATGTCTGTATATAAAAAATACAAATTGTCCGCATAGGATATATGTAACAAATATAATACATTTTAGCCATATACAAGTCATATGGTTTTCATTTTCTCATGTATAAATTTGCATCTTTGTTATTTTCAGGTACCTATAATAAGGTTCTACCTTATATCCTCATGGGAAGTCTCACCATCGCTGCCTCTGTGGTGAACTTCTTCCTTCCTGAGACCCTCAACAAAGATCTTCCGGAAACTGTGGAGCAGATGCAAGAATGTCAGGGGTGAGTACATTTCACTGGATTCAACTAAAGTTCACATGTTTGACGTCTGCACATTGTTGTAAATTAGATTGACAGTGAATAGTGGTGCTGAAGCAGCAGTGGCTTGAGCGCTCATCTTAGACAGAGCCCTCAATGAATTCATATCTATC